ATGCTGCTTAAAAGGCCTACCCATGAGGTACATCAAAGGGAAGAGAAAGTTAAAAATAATCAAAGAAAACTTAGAAAGTTTTTCTACAGAAAAGGTTAGCATTTATAAACTTAAAAAATTCAGAACTCTCTACAGAATTTAGTTTCCATATATCGTCGGTGCTCTAAGGAGAGAGAAGAGGGGAGGGAGGAGAGATGGGTGTCTAAACCGCTGAATATTTCCTTGCCAAAAATAAATAAATAAATAGGTATCTATTTATTTTAATATTTTTTCCTAGGCACTGAAGAGGACTTAAGACACAAAACCCTGATTTGCTGGGGTGTGCAACCCAACTTACTTTGGCTATTTCTTACTTAACTTCTTTTTTGTGTATAGCTTAAACTCTCCACACTAGGTCATTCAAGTCTTGAGTCACCAGAAAAAAGAAGTCGCTGTTTAAAGTATGGCAGACAACCAAAAGTTCAGACAGCTGCAATGAAGGATTAGTTGTGGGTTTTTCTCACTGCCTTGCTACAAACTGCATCACAGCTCTATGTTCAAACATTATTAAATGGGAATGTTTTCTCTGGCACTGACTACTTCTCTCCACAGTTTAAGTATTGAATTTTTTTAACTGAAGTAGCTTTGGTTTACAGCTCACATTAGAACTTAAAAACATATTTCCATAGTAGCTGGCATATGCAGGCAACTGTTTATTCTCAGTACCAGCCATAATAAACACTTGTACTTTTGTAATCCAACAAATCTTTGTCTAATCACAACTCCGTTTTCAGAGCTGTAAAATTTGCATGCTATTTAAACCATTTTTCATGAAGACTCTCTAGAAATTGAAAGATTTTCTAAGTCTGCCTTCATTATCTATATAGAACAATAGTTCACTGTAAAGGATGTGGAGATACACGGTGGGTATTAATGGCAATGGTCCGTTGAGAAAAAGCTTTGTAAAGCAGGACACGCTATAGGAGTTTCAGGGGAACAGCTTGTGTTGAGGAGATGCACCTTTAAATCTACCTTGAACTTATTCTGGCAAGTATGAAGAAATCGCACCTCCTTGGTTGGATGGGCTTTCCAGGTGAATTGAGAACAGCATCCGACTAACTTTTGGGTTTATATTTTAGCATTCCAAAGCAGTAAAGCTCTGGAAAGTGGAGCAATTTGAATTAACTTTTGGCTCATGCATTGTCAACAGAACTAATGAAGGTCTGCTTGCAGAATCACTACAGTGAACGAAAAGGCCCAGCAGGACATTTGATTCCTGCTGAATTTGCCAGAACTGATCATTCTAAAAGTATATTTGTTTTTCGTAGCTGACTTTATTGGCTATTGGAATTGCCAAGACACAGAAGTGTGGAGCCTGCGATGCTGTTTTATGGGAACAGAATTAAACTTCAAGCAGAAAAATCACTACCACCCTTCTTCCTTTTTTAATGACTATTGCTACTTATGAGGATGAATTAGCAAGAAGTCAGTAATATATGAAGAATTACTTTCAGCTAGATCAGGTATTAATTTGAAAAAGATTACATACTTAGCACAGTCTGTCAGATGATACACTGATTTCCAACCTGTGAATGTCTTCCCTTGCCCAAGCTTTGGTTCTTACATAAGAAAGACTGTCACGACAGCCAGCAGTCTTGTTTTCCACATAACCAAATACCCACTTTGGTGCGCCAGCATTTGTGATTCGGTTTAATCTTCAGCTTCCAAGCAGTTCCCCATCACGCACGACCCCATCCAACAAGAGATCAAGCACAGGACTCGCACTGCGTGCAGACCCTTGTGCTAGCCATCTGCCAGAAGATGGACTTCACCCACCCTTAACCTCTAAGTGGAGACTGAATGACATGCTCAGAATTATTGCAGACATGCTTTTGGGCAACAAAGGAGGATCGGAGGCCAACAGCAGCTACCAAAATAGCCAGCTTTGTTACTAGAAATGTGAGCAATTGTTAAAAAGTGTAATCGTACAGCTCTACGACAAGCAATACTACCACCGAGGTTGATTGATAAGAATTTTATCTCCAGGGTTAGCCCAGGGCCAGCAGACACAGGGTACCAATGCTGTGTTCGAGTCAGTCACACTAACACGGTGGCTTCAACAAAATGACTCTTCCCTCAGTATCGACATCATACTGTAAACCTTGTCAAAAAAAAGAAATGGAGACAAAATCTAAATATCCCATCGGGTTAGGCAGAAGCTGCTAACATCTGAGGCAGACAACTCACAACTGCAAGAATTTGTGGTGGCAGAAGGGAGGCAAGAACCATATTCCCGCAGCCTCCCAAGAAGAGTTGGCAGGATCAGAGAAGTGGAAGGAAAGACACTAATTTATTGCAGTCACATGTAAATGTTGGCATTTAACAATAGCAGCAGCAAAAGAAAAATCAGTTAAAAGAACCTGAGAATGCTGAAAAAAGCCACAATAAATACTGAAGAACTGGAAGAGGAGCTATTTCTCATTAGAAAAGAACAAAGGTTTGAGAACTACTTGTACTTATTAAGATTGAACTGGCTTGGGACCATATGTAGTGGAAATTAAGAAAGCCAGAAAAAATCCACAGACACTTGAACAAAACGAAAAAGGGATCACAGTGCCATTTCAGGAGGCCGCAAGAGTATCAGTTGCCTCCTCAAGTTAAATGGAACGGTAAAGGATATCAGACTTCACATAGGCTTCAGCAAAATAAATCATTGGCTAATGGACATCTTAGTAAATCATGAAATCCCCACCTGAGAAGGCACAATGGCAGGGGATTTTAGCTGTAAGGTTGAGAGCTGAGGAAATAACTGAACATGAAAAGAGATCAGCTAAAGAACCCTTAAAGACAGAATCACAAGCTTACCAGACAATTGATAATAGCCGAGAGACTTGCAATGGTTGACTAACTGTTTGATGAAGAGGATAAATTAGGGTTCATAGGCGCTAAATGTATCCCCAGTGTAACCCATTAAGTCAAATGAATCACAAAACAGGTTCAGTCTGGTGCTCAGTGTTTTAATCGTGGAATGAAAATGTTACAATATTTTACCACATACTTTGTTCTTTAAAAAAGATTATAGCAATCTCTGACAATTAGTGCTGGAGAGGGGAAGGGAGTTCTTTAACTGGAAAATAATTCTGGGTGGCAAACCAGAGATCCTGGAACTGATTTTCTGTCATCTCATACCTACTGTAGTCTATGCTACTTGCTGCACCAACAGGCAAAATCTGATTGGAAGCTTTATGCACTCATGTTATTTCCACACAATATGCAGAGTTATGGAAAAACCTCAGGCCCAGGAACTTGAACTGTCGGCACCTCTCTTGGAAGTCTTTAAGGTTCTGCATTGCAGTACCTACAGACAGCACACAAGAGCTGGGGCACCGCAGAAACAAATAGCCAGGTAACAGTCTGTGCTTGGCAGAGCTCCTACGTCGATTTGGTAAATGGTAATAAGAAAAAAGTAAACTAAAAATGTTGTAAAACGAAGGCAATGTAGGCAGATCCATCCACCCCCAACCATTTCCATGCCCTTTAATGGTGGGATTTCTGGATTTGAAAGCTAGAGTATCAAAGATGAAGTTATTTAGGCATATGATCTTTTAACATCAATGGTTGAGTTTCTGAGGAGGAAATCGGGAGTTGTCCTATGCAGGTTGGAAAGCAGAGGGACAAAAGATCCTTCCAGAGCAGCAACCTCTCCCTTGAGCATACACACACCTCAGGACAGACTGGAGAAGCTACCCCAGCTGGGTATTATAACACATGTATTTCATGGGGAAGTAAGCAATGGTTTACCATCAACTGCTTGTAAGTTTTAAAAGAAAAGTTAAATTCTTACATGAAATTACAATAAATGGAGGCCTACTATTGTGTGGAACAAAAAGTGTAAGGAAATCTGATACACCCTCTGTATGCTCAAATTCTGCTCTTGTTACCACAAGTGGAGCTGGGTAAATCTCCTAAAGTAAAAACATAAAGATAGATTTTAATTTTGAGAATAAAACAAATCTGCCTATTGACTTCAGCAGATTAGTTGTGATTTATACTAAAGAAGCTAAAAAAAACCCTATCTGGCCCTCCAAACATCTTTCACACACGCTTTTAACATTTTAAAACGTTTTTTTGCTTTCACAGGCTGGAAGACACTTACACGTGATCCTGTGGATGCCCCTTCTTCTCTGTAGACACTCAGTAGTGCAGGCACTACACTTCTACAGCATACGTAAGTTATAGCACCAGAACTCAGCAAGATGATAGTGTAGTTCATGATTTGCCTTTTTAAAAACCTAAAGCAGATTTTGGTTTTGCAATTCATTTCGTTCAGCTGAATTAAGGTTCAGTCATAAAGGCACTGAATGCTCTTGTCTCCCCTTGATGTAAGTGGGATGAAACCACTTGCAGGACTTGGTCCTTAAAAATGAAAGAGGAAAGCAAAGGATGAAATCCTGGATCCTCCTCTGAGGACAATGCGATTTCTGCTCTTCAGTACTCTAGTGCACTAATTCACTACTCATCTCTAACACGGTATTTTTTGGGCCTTCAAAGTACTTCTGTATAGGATTCTGCCCTATAGTTAATAAAAATGTCAGGAATTCACATGCAAATATTTTTCATGATTCTACTTAAAATTGCCTCAGTCTCCACCTGTACTTAATTTTGGATGAAAATCCTGCAGACAGTCCCACAAGACAGAAGAAAAACATGCAAACTGTTTCCTACAGAGGAGAATACTAAGTACACCGACCATCATTATTTTATACAAGATTGGCCCCACCTCGCACAGGAACGACACATTGTTTCAACAGAAAGAGTAAGAACTGTTAGGAAGAAGGCATTATTTATTATTCAGTTCTAAGTGACCTCAGTTTCACATCATGGAATTTCATTTAATTTTTAAGAAAGATCAACACTGCTTCCAGAATTCTTTAAGCAGTTTTAACAAGATCACTAGTTGTGCTTTCTTAATCATCTTATTTCAGCTATTTAAATGTATCTTAACGTCTTCCAGGTGCACTGGGATTCAGTATCGCTTTATTCATCATCACAGAAAAAGACATACATAAATAATACAATACATAGTTCGGAAAGTCTAGAGGAACTGTTATGTCTTCCGTGGTTCATAATCTGACAACAGTTCTTCAGAATTTAGCTGTACTGTTATAACTTAGTAGAACAGCACTGAAATGAGGAACCTTAGTCTTAGCCCAGAAAACACAAATAGTCTGCTTTGTTGTGTTTGTGCAAAGGAAAGAAAGCTCAAGAGGAAAACCCATATGCACCAATTCTGTAAAGGCACAGTGAAAAGCCATGCTCACAGAAGAGTCAGTGCAGCATGGAAGTGATCTTGCAGGAGTGGATCTTGTGACATTAAGGCGGAGCTTAAAGGAGCAGCTTTGAGGTATATCTAACTGGAACTACAGGTGACCAAAAACAGTAGGAAGGAGCAACGGTGGTGAGTCTTCACTTTTGTAAAATACTTCCTGGTGCTTCCACTTATCAGGATTCCTTCTTTTCCTCTACTTCTAACAGCTCATCAAGGAATTCCACAACTTCACCCTAGAAAGGATTAAATTTAACAGACACAAGTTAACCCTGTACTGCAAAATCAGTGGAAAATTTTAACCATCTTAAAACATAAACTGTAATAATAGGTGTCTAAATATTTTTTAACGCTCTTCATACAGAAGCTAGCACAAGCCTATAAAATGCAAATAAATGGCCCATACACAGGTAGCACAAGTGACATGCAGTGACATACAGACCTTAAAAGAAAGAAATGTTACACTTCACAGTAAATCCTCTTTTACTTTTTCAGGTATTTAAGTAGACAATGAAATCCTCAAACTTAGAAAGTAGAGGCATAAACGTTTAAAGCACCTGTTAAATTAGGAAATTGGTAAAATACCATAAAACTTTAAAGAATTTTAGAAAGCTTCAAAATTCAAAGTGTTTTGTAGAACCGTAACTTTGACTTTGCATCTGTCTACTCTAACCGTTCACGTCCTCTGTTACACCTTCTTGATTTTCAACCACAGATCTTCAGATGCCATGCATCAACGCAGCAAAAATGTAAAGAACGAGAGATACTAGAATGTTTTCCATACTCCAAACAAATACATTGGGTTTAGATTCAGACCAGAAAATATTGTATGTACAAGGTCCAGTCTGCTAATACAGGGTACCAACACGACATAACAATCCAACTTTCTTTATTTAAACTATTCCTGATGTAGATATATGTCATATACCATAGTCAAATGTCTTCCTGCAGTCAAGCCTCAGTACTTTGGGATGATACAGCCCCACCAGCTGGAATTTACCGCCTTGTCAACCAAGCTACAGTAACTGAGCTAAAACCTGTTGTAATCCCTTTCAGTCCAAGGTAACACCTTCAGTAGTGAAAAGCAAGTAGCTAACAGCAAACGTGCAGCAGCATCTCCAACTGCTCAAAACTGACTGAAGCAGCCCATCTGCTGGCACCCTCAGAAATACTAGGATTTTCCTGTTTGCCTTCCATGAACAGTTCAGAAACAACGCTGCCTGAGATGGGAGACCCCGTGCGAATGCCTGTGCATGTTTTCCACTTTTTGATACAACTCAAATACTGAGCTGTAAGAGAGATGTCGATGCTCAGTGTTACACTTCCAACCTTTTATTCCAATAACTACAATGTCCTGTTAAACTGTTTTAACTGTGTTTTTTTTAAACTTTCCTGTCCTTCCTTTCTTGACATAAACCTATGTTCTAAAAAGGTCTTAAGATGTCATTTAGTTTTTTTCCAAAACAAATTGTCACTTTCTGATAGAAAAATATTCTCCTGGAAAATCTGATCAGCTCTTACTCGCTCTCATGTTTAAAATAATGAGAATTTATAAAAGTTATCCTGAAAGCAAGTCATCCTTGCTTGGATGCTCATTCTCCCTCTTCCCTTCACCCCCCATTCCAAGCCTTTGTGAACTGTATTAGGCTTCTAAGTCTGCTTGATGAAGACTGCAAACAGTATTTTACAATCCTAATTAAATTTTAAGCACATTTGTGCCTAGAAAGGTATTCCTTAGGAAGACAGCACCTTCCAGACACATGCAGTTTGAGACTCAGAATTTTACAGTTTTCTATTCGGGTAAGGAAAGGTCATTAAAACCTCTGTCAGTGAAAACCGTAAGAGGAAATAGAGATTTTTTTGTCTATTTTGAATACAACAACAATTGTATTATGGATATGGTGATTAAAAATATTAACATCACATTTTTCAGAAGTGTGATTAGCCAGGAGAGAAGTAATGAGAACCAAGCAAACAAAAATAAAAGCGGGAGGAAAGCTGGCTGAAATAACTGCTGCTCTTGTTCCCTGCTTCACAGTTCCATCTTAAAAGACTGTTGAGTATTTGCAACTATGAAGTGGTTTTAGCAAGTCCTGAAGCATGGCAATTTATTTTGCTTTGAATTTGTGCAAAACATCTAAGTATCCAATTCAACAAAAACACAAGAAAAAATGCCAGCACTTTCATATTGCCTTCTTGTCTTCCTGGTTGCAGGAAATCTGGCAATTGGAAAACAGGAATTCGACATTTCTGCACGTTTTCCTTTGTTAGAAGTATTTTGATTGCCTAAGAAGCCCAATCATGGGAGGAACTCAATACCACTTCACAAATGCATATGAAGAAAATAGCCACTAGGTCCAACAGTCACTATGCAAGCAGTTGAAAGTTACAGAAACAGAAGCACAGAGGACTTCAGGGCAAGTTTTATAGCACAGCTCCTAAAACTGTGGGCACAAGCATTTGGGTGCCTCCCAAAGGACTACAGACAGGCAGGTCCCATTAACTCTGAACAGAGTTACGAGACTGGCAATACAGGTGTCTACTACAGGGGTCTCAGATGTAATTCAGACTGATCCTTTTACACCTCAGGATCATAGTTTAATGAGAGAATAACAGATATTAAAAAGGATTTCTCTCCTCAGTCTACCTGCAAAGACAACCCTCAAAAGGTAAGAGACTAAGAGGTAGGGTGAAAGGCATAAGCATCTATTCTATGATTCTATGATCTGACTGGATGACCCAGAACTAAGTATAAGGAAGACATGGAGATTTCAATACCGTACCTTTGGTAACTCAACGATATGGGAACTTAATTCAATTCATATTATTGTCACGCTCATCAGTGAGGTAGGATATTTCAGAAGACAAAGAAGATCCAGGCAGAATTCAGGTTTTTTTCTTCTGGTATGTTTTCAAACCCAGAAACACGTAAGAAGCCCAAGTTTTAAATGGAAAAGGATATTTAAAAGCAACAGTATGTGAAAAAAAATTGACTGAAAACTGAAATCTCCAGTGCCTGAAATTGATCTCTAAAGGAAAGTATGATGGAAGCTGTTGCGGTCTAACGAGAAGTACTGGGGAATAAGAGAGGTTGAAATTATGGCAAAAATATAAAAATAGTTGCCGAAACAATATACATACAGAAAATATGCTGTAATGCAACTGAATAATTGCCTGGATGTTGGTTATTTTTGAAAAGGCAAAAACTCCAGATTACAGTTAAAGACAAACAAAACCTGTAGTTAAAGCATTTTTGCCTGCGCCTTCAGGGTCAGAATGTAAAACATTTGCAAGTTGTCCATACTGTGGTTGGCAGCCTAATGAAAAGGTGGTAAGGCTACATCAGAAGGGCTGATCACATTGTCACACTAGCAGCTATGACCAGATTGATCACCGTCCTTGCCCCATTAGCACTCACTTGACACCACATCAGGCATTTTGCATGACTGAAGTCAGCAAATATTTCACAGGTGTTCATTCCAGGGAAAAAGCCTCCTGCCCGCTGATACCCAATAACTTCATGCTGGCCTGCAGACCTGGAGTTTGAAAATGATTCTCTGATATGATTTAAGCATTCAGTGTGACGGAGTTCCTTCTGTTATCTGGTATCCTCTTTGGCTCCTACCTACCTTAATAGGAAGGACAGCAAATTTTACATGCAAAGTCAGCTGGAAACCCATAATTCTTTCTGCTGCCAGCTACTAGAGGGGACAACAGCCACCCAGTTCTAATGCAGGTTACATAAATATGCTGCTCAGACACACTGCCGATGTAAATCAGAGTTGAGCAATATATGGCCCAAAGCATGATGCAGCTGTCTGGCTGGTAGCTAGTAAATCAGTATGTGAAGTCTGACTAAGCTCGGGGAAGAGAAGGGTTTGCTGCCACAACAGTACATGCCCGATAGTTAGGCAGCCAACAACTGGAAAGTACGCAGATGTGGACTTCTTGGTCAGCCGCAGTGAACCACATCCTCATTAGCAAGGTGGCCCTCGGTCCACAGTCACTGCCTCCTGGTTTGCACCGGAGGCCAGGTATGCGCTGCAGGTACAACAGCTCTGCTGGCACCCCGTGACCTCCCTCCCTGTGCTACCAACCTCTTCCCTCTCCCAGTCCAGGGGCAGTCAGTGGAAAGTGGGAGTGACAGCAAGGATGTATGGGAAAAGATGGGACAGGTATAGCCTGAAATATGGGAGGCATGATATCGAACAGCAGCAGGGGAACGCCCCCAGGCTGGTGTGAGTGGTAGGAAGAATCAGAGAAGCTGATCTGATCAACCTCAACCGGAGCCTCTAATTATCTGTCAGATATGCAAACTAAGCACCCTTGGCTTAGATTAACAACTGAACAGAGGCACAAACAGAAAGAACAAGTTTTGTACCAAAGTAAGTAATTCAAGCAGGTTTTACAGAGGGTACATGAATAAGTGGATTGTAATAAAAAATAATTTTAAAACAGAGTTCTTGGTCAATTCTGAATAAGCTAACCCAGGCTAGCGAGACTGGTGCACTATTATAACTGAAGCTAGAGCATTTGAAAAAATAAGTCCTAAAAAGGAGAAAAATGCATAACTCCTCACTTGTTACCGCAAGCTGAGTGTCCAAGACCAAGGTACACATTGGGCCAGGGATTGTTGCTGGCCCTTCCTTATGCAATATTAAATGCTGCATTCACACACACAAAACACAACCTTTTAGAAGAAACATGTGTACTTTGGAGACTCCGAGCCAGCTATTAAAATAAACAGCAAAGAAAAGCTGCCAGTACATGGCTCAGTTATGGCCCACTTGAAACTGATGGTCCAGCACCAACTCTTCTTTCGACAGCAGCATTTAAAAATAGTAGCAACCAGCAGCAGTTGCACTGCTCACTGACAGACCCAGGTGCTTTGCCTTTGGTTGCTAAGGCTAAGCATTGCCTTCTGCATAGCAAATATTAGTCATTCATGGGTCCTTGCTTCCATCTACAATCTGTTCTGTCCTTTCTCAGTGTGGACTGGAAAAGTTCTGGGGAAAAAACAGCTTTCTTGCAATAACCCATACTTTCCATTAAGATCTGCTGATGGCCTTTTCTATAGGGATTCCATATGCACTGCAGTGGAATAGCCTGTTCTTCAGGGAAGTAACAGAGAATATTAAAATAACAGTATTCTAGAATGAATTAAGATCTACAGAAAAATATTATTATGGACATGCTTTCATGGGTGATTATCAGTGAATGAATAAGAAACTGCCTTTGTCCTAACTCATCCAACAAACTGAGCCTTAAGAGACAATATATAGAGCAAAAATTGGGTGGATCTTTGTTTCCTTATAATCTATGACCTAGAAGGAAAATATTTATCCCACAAAATGTCCCCCAGCTGTCCTTCACAGCAAAAATTCAGATTCTGCTAAAGTTCAAAGATCTTAATGACTGGAAACTTGTTCAACAGTGAGAGTAACAGATTTTGTTCCTATATGTATTGAGTATAGGCGGCAAGGTTGTGGTAGCAGGAGGGGTTGCAGGGGTGGCCTCTGTGAGGAGAGGTCAGAGCTGCCCTGTAACTAATGAGTAACTGCCCTGGTAACTAATTTGAGTAACTAATGGGAGTAGTGACAAGGAGTTGGTTCATGAAAACCAGCAGATTTTGTTCAAGGATGAATAACCACCTTGCAAGAAAGAAGACAAAGGTTTGATATGGCCGACTGTGGAGGATACATGCTCTGCGGGCCTGATGGAGCTTGCAAGCACACACCACAGAGCCCACTGGCCAGCGATATTTGGGGGGGGGAAGGACATTATTTTGGGATAACAGTAAGGCATGTCTCAATGAGTGGCTCAGCCTGAAAGGTTTATTCAGCATTTGACCAAGAAAAAGTTTCTTGATCTAACCTTCAGTTAAAACACGCGAGTTCACTGTAACCACCTCAAAGCCCTCCCAGATCCTCCACGAGTAGTACAGACCAGGCTGGACATTCCTCGCATTCTAGCAGGGGAAAAAAAAATAACCCTCAGTTCTTTGTGCAGAAAAATTATTTGGCCCTTAACTTGTTTATTTTTCAGATACTTAGTCCACAGTGTGACCCACTGTCACATGCTTTTAGGGTTTTTTTTAATATTACAAGAGCTTAGTTGTTCTTTACGTCTATGTTAACTTTTTTTCTCAAATATTTTTCCATTTAATTTTTTAATGATATATTCTGAACATGTAACTGTTCTCTTCCCATATGCTAAGGGAGACTGCAGTACACTGCAGTTACTACAATAGTATTTTACTGTAATCCAATAAATGTGCTTTCCTCTTAACATTTTTATAATGCCTGTAAAACATGAGTCAACCCAGTTTCACAGCAACTTCAACACTGCTCCCATTGCACTGAAAACAGAAGCCTTCTAGTGGCTTTGCTTCTGAGCTCTACTTATGCTGTCTTGGCTGCTCTATGCTGCACATAGAAGCTTAAGAAAATCTGGACAGGTAAAAATTCCTCCTAATGTCAGTACCTGCAACTTGGGGACACCCTGCCGTTTAAGCCCAGCCATGCTTGCAGCTTCCCATGGTGGGTGGTTTAAATGGAAGGAGGAACACCTTTGCCCAAGGTACACATCCCATGGTAAAGAAGCAAGAGGGGAAAGCAGGAAGCTTCTGGAGAGCCAGCCACATGGGCAGTATCTCCATTAGCAAGTAATGATGAAAAAAAAAAATTTCTTTTTTTCTTTGAAGAAGTGTGTGTTGAACAGGGACCACAACAATGCCAATTAGCCGCCAACTCTCTCTGAAATAGATGCCACCGGCTCTTCCCAGTGTAGCGGTGCTGTTGCAGTCGTGTTAGTCTGAGGTCACAGGCAGGGCAGGGTTTACAGGTCTGCATTTACAACTTGTCGTTACGAGCGCACTTGTATAAATCATTTGAACAGATGCAAAAAGTGAGCTAATAAAGCTGAAAATATGTTGTTAGCGATTCCTGAACAGAAAAATAGGCTGAATTCAGATTATTATCTGCTATCAGTAGTCCACTGGGCCCTCGTGCTTTGATGCTGTTCCATATGTTTTCTTTCTACCAGTCACATTAGTTCAACACTCATTCTCCTTTGCATCACACTCCGGAATAGAGCGTTATGAATTTCAGCTACTATACAAATGGACACACACATTATATACAAATGAAAAGAACAAGATGGCAAAAAAGTGAGTCAAAGCTGCCAACAGTTTTTCACCTACTGACTAAGTACCGAAAGAAAAATCACATTGTAGGATCATCCCAGCCAAATACTTGTGGTTCTCATGTAATTTAGAACAGCTAAGTAGCTATCCTTGAAAAAAAGTTCCTCAAGAACACTGATTTTATGGGCCAGAAACATGTCTCATACAATTAGTGTAGTGCTGAAGTTATATCTACACTAGCTGAGTATCTGGCTCTTAACAGCATTTCAGTTTGCTATTTAAATCTGTGCAATACTAGGAGCTATATCTATTATAGCCTTTATGCGTTACACAGCTGAACAGAAATCAAAAAGCTTGACTACCCATGGCCAACTTAGATGACAACACTGTGTAATGATCTTTTAACTTCACTGTGGAAAACTGTAAGGATATTTAATAATAATTACTTTTAAGAAAAAGTAATTTGTAGCTAGTTGGTGCTAATATTCTCTGTCACCTCTACTGTGTTAAATGTTTGAACTAGTTTTTCATTTCCTTGTGGAAAAACATTAATAAAGTAACATGAACAGGACAGTATTTCTTGTAGTGACATATGCAAAAATCATTACTGCATGTTCCAGCCTCTGTAATTACTGCAATGTATTATTGGAAGAAGCCACATGTTCTCACTCGCTTTGCTAATGGGATTTAAAAAGACACATGGAGGATCTGGGATACAGGAGCACTGAGAAGTCTGAATAAAGCAAGATTCTCCGCTTGGGAATAATGACATATTCACATAGGAAGAGATCCTTTTGCCATATCAATCCTTTGGCTTCACTCAAGGAAGGAGAATGATTTTTTTCTGCAGATTATTTTATGGGCTTGTTGGCCCACAAGCAACTTCACAGACAGAAAACACGGACCACAGAAACTCACAAAAGGTATGGCCTATGGCCCAAGAAGCACATGGTTTAAATAAACAGAGTGCACTAAAAAGAGAGGTTGCCTCCATCCATAACAATTTTTAATAAAGCTTTTACTGTAACACCTTATCTGGGTTTTTCATCAGTTTTCAGCATTCCTATAGAATAAACTTTTCAATCGTGCCAGGAGAAATATTAAAAAAAAAATTCCACTTACACTACCAGGTCCTGCCCATATAGCTGAAACTGCAAGGTAGCAATTTACCTTTGTGCTATCCCTGCTCTGTCTGGACTCCCTGGAAGGCTCCTGCAGCCAAAGAGAAGTTCTGGTAGCCAGGGATTTATGAGTTCACTACCAAAAGCCAGAGCCAAGCCAGAGGAATGGACAGCCTCCATCCCTCCCAAGTTCTTCAGCCCTAGTAAGTGAGGGCACAGAAGCCCTTCAGCTTTTTCTCGGGAGAGGAGAATGATAACTTTCCTAATACGACGAGAGTGTGGGGTAGGGATATCTGTGGCATGACCAGGCCCAGTAATTTTGGTTGTTTAACCCAAACATATAATCCAGTGTAAAGTGACTTCCTTGACACTTCCCCAAAAGTTTAATTGATGTTTCCCCTCTACTTCGCTCCTGCAGATTGCAAGGTTGTTTGTAATTGCACTGGTGAAACAGGCTACAGGAATGAATGCCAGCAAATGAATGCTTGTTTATTCTATACACCGTGCTTGAGGCTGAAGATTGTTTCTCTAATCCCTTCCTGTAACAACATATGGGGAAAGTCCTCACAACGGCCTCCTTCTCCCCTTCCTTAATTACTCATTCCTGTGTTTTGAAGCAGCAGATGTAAAAGAAGGAAAAAATTACAAACTAAATTTATGCCTAACATAGGAAAACATTATGGGCAAAGCACAAACCAACAAGGGAATATAAAAAAGTGCTCAAGTATTTCCCACCCTGATGAAAATCCATACAGACTAGTCCTCATCTAAGCTTAACCTTATAATAAGCTTATTAAACTGTCTTTCACAGAGTTTTATCACAATGGAAAGTCTTCCTAAAGTCTGGTAACCTTGCAATGGAATTTTACATATAGAGTTGTTTTCAGGTCACTAGCATACTGAAGGCAGCAGAGATATGTTATTACTTCTCCACTATAAAATATTCTCTCTCCCTATGTGCTGGATAACATAAAAATTGCAAAGGTGATTTCATTTTTTAACATTAGCCATCTTTCTTTTTTCTAACCAAAAAAAGACCTCAGCAGTGCTCATTACAAGCACCCTGCCCCATGCCATAACTGAACATAGCTCTTTGCCAATGCCAGCAACAAACTATTCCATGATTTGAAGATTTTTTTAAACCTTTAAATGAAAGGTTCTGAAACCAAAGCAAAACAAAAAGCAATCCAAAGCCTCCATGATTTATACTTTAATTTCAGCTGTGGGAGACAAAGAAATGCCCTTTCAACAATTTAACTACTTTTCTTGCACAAAAAATCCACTTTACATATTTCCAGTCTAATAGTAGTCATTATATGTTATTTGGCCATGAATTCCAACCGTTTAAGAAGCAAGACTGGGTGACCAAAATGTTACTGTGCAGAAAAAAATAACAGATAACAAGACTTCCTTTTGACAAAAATTTACAATTTAGGTGGTTACTTCTGGACAAAATTATAAGGATCTTTAAATCTAATTTAAACAACATTTCAGAAAAAAAAAAAAAAACACAGAAAAATGTTGGGTTTAAATATATATACTACTTCTCTGCCCCCTGGTGTTACAGCTTGCAAAGCAGATTTTCTTTTTTTGTGGTCTGAATGCATTATATTTACCTTTGTGTTAATACTGCCCATAATTTTTTAAATGGTATGTGATGTTCTTTGGGTGTGTTTCTTATATTCCATTTACAGAAGAAAAATTTATGATAAATTGGTCACGGTTACAAGAAGATTTTTCCATATTACCTAAATCCTGGAATGCCATCTATGGATCATCTTCACTTTAATGTGATTGCTGGTTTTTTGACCACGATTTCCTTTCTAGAAAACTCACCTCATCATCATCCAGCAGGTGTTCCTTTGCAAATTCATACATTTCCAACTGGAGTGTGGTTATGTTGTGGTATCGAACTGCCTCCTATCAAAAACCAGAATTTCTATGTTACTTTAGGGTAGCAAGATAGGGGAGTGTCATCACATGTCACCTGAAACTATTCCAGTGAAGTCAGACCCATACTTAGTAGAAGGCAGATGCTGGGGGGAGGGTGCTTTAAAATGTTTGAGAAAGGAAACAGCAGAACAGCAAGCAGCGTATTCCATGTCTTCTGTGGATCTTTCTAAGCACAGGCTCCATCGGTGTGAGAAGAACAAAGCACTCGCCTCTTTCTCATGTTTCAAAGCATTGGCAAGCCTGAGAATAAGGAATGAGATTGCCAGAGCTGAGCAGCAGCCTGTGCCTGCATTCCAGCGGGCTCTGGACATGAGAAAGCCTCTGTCTCCCTGCGCGCTGGCGTATGGCGGCAGGCAGTTCTGGGAAAAAGAGACGCTAAGCTATTTTGCATGATAATGACTCACCACCCCAGCCTGAGTCCGGGCTAGGGAAATTCTGCACGGTCACCCACCTGTCCCTCCTCACTTCCCTGGCTGTTTGCCTGGACAGCACAGTTCAGCTCAGTCACCTACTCTCGTATTTGTGAATACCAACAGTAGTCTACTTTGATTATCCCATTTAACTCTTTTTGGGGAGGAAAACAGGAGAATTACTCTTTCACAAGAACATCTAAAGCTTAGTGCCAGAGCCAAATGCTGCTGTCACCCCGTTACCACTTCGTGAAAATAAACCAGAAGCATTATGGTTTTCAGGGCAAGCGATTAGGACAGCAAGCAACTTCTGTTCATAGTTACATGGATCAAAGTACAAGAAAATACAGGTGTGCATTTAGTATTTTATATTTAAAAATTAAATTATCTGTAGTCCCCAGCTCCTGAGAAGTTATCAATGAAACATTCAGAGTTAACGTGTAGGGCCCTTGCTCTGTCCTCTCTCCACATGTATGCCAAATGTGTCTGTGGTTTGTAGTTCTATACTGTTGCTACCCCTCACTCCCACCACCATCAAACATTGTCTCCAATATGGCTATAAAGCACAGTTCTGTTCCCAAAAGCAGTGACAAAGGAGTGGTCCCTGTCCCCTGTGAGCTCAGACTCACTGCTGCTGCCTGAAAGCAGCATTTTCACTGTCTTCCGCCTCAGTTGGCCCTGCGGGGCAGGCCTGGGTTTCCAGCGTGCCGATAAGGCGTGTTGCACATAACTCAACAGCTGTCCACAACCAAAAACCACTGAACTCAAATGCAGTGGTATTTTTGACTTGAGCTGGCTGGCGTGAGAGGATGGAAAATGTAATTATCCAATCAGTGCAACCTATAAGGTGCATATGTGAACTGCTCTGCAGTGTTGCTACAGATAAAGCCAGTCACCTAAGTGCTACATGTACATCCTGAGATTAATGCAGCATTAAGAATCAAGGGATATGCCTTTGGGCCAGTACAGATCTCGGTGACTGAGATGTCTGAAGCAGCAACATGGGAAAGGCAACTGGAACATTATCCTGTGGGCTGCCTGCTGTTGCTTCAGCTACGTTAACTTAAATGACTCTTCCATGGGTAAATAATGCGTAAGAGAAAGAGAAGGCACTAAATTTAATTTGTGGAACATGTATTGCTAATGACTAACTACTTGTACAGCACATACCGCTGATGCCTAAGGAGTCACTCAGGTGTTACGGAGCAGTTAATTCAGTTGCATGACATAAATCCTGGTAACAAGAAATGACAGAAAATCCAACTTGATTGTCAGAGTCCAGGCTGCGGGACTCCAGAAACACTGCAAAGATGCTTTTATATGTAAAATTTCCTTGGACATGGAAATTTAAGAACAGCATAGAAACCCATTTTTAGAGTCATTTGTCAAAGCCAGATTGCAATCATTGCTGGATGGACTGATGTTCACTGTGGGTTCTTTGCAGCAAGCATTCTAACTGAGATAATTAGGTGCAATACGGTTGAGAGCCTTTTCCCATCATCACCCACCCAATTATGTTCTAAATTGAGTAACTGGAAAGTGGGTTTAGCTGGGGTTATCATATCTGGACACATTCCGATGCACACAGAACCTGAAATAACAAGCAGGTGGGCAACTACATGTTGGCAAATAATGAGTGATTGACAAAAGCCCAAATGTCACTGGAGTGATCTTTCCATCAGGAGATTTCAGGGGCCAGCTGCTTTACTTATCAAGGTAGATAAAGATACAAATATACATAAGTGGCAGACAAGTATCAATGTGAATTTACTCATCATCATATCATATCATATCATATCATATTGTAGTATATTTCAACACATAGGAATGAACTATAATGACATTCACTGCCTACAATTACATAGTACACCTCTGTGTACAACTTTCTGTACAGTGTTAATAAAACAGTATGCGTTTTAATGCCAGAACCAACAGATAACTCCATTTTCACAATCTCTGACCCAAAGAGTTTCAGGGAAATATCTGAATTTGTCTAGAACACATTTTAAGTAATTCACCTACCGATCTGGGCTGAAAATCCTCTTCTTTAAGTCCCCATTTATCTTTGTGGTACTGATAATATACCATGTTCTGTTTCATTACTTCATCTTTCTGGTCAAACAGAAGGTAACTAGCAGCACAAGAAGCTGCGTTCTTCATGTCGTTCACTAATTAATAAACACACAAAAAAAAATCCAGATAAGGTAAATGAAGAAATTCCTACTATTATCTAAGCTCTGAAAAACTAAGATGGAAACAGGATCCATTTTCTACCTCTCCACCAGCTGCACAGAAAAAAAAAATTGCTTCCCAGAAAGGATACGCTATTTTTGTGTTCTGAAACAGGTAAGACCATGATTCAGAAATGGGGACTTACCTCTGATGGTTTTCTATGAAAATCCTAATCAAATGTACCTCCCAGGTATCCCAGTATCAGTGAGATATCAGCCCACAGCTTGATGAACCCCCCCTGGGGCATTTATTAAAAAACAAACAAAAAATAAATTAACTAGAATTGACAAAGAGGGAAGAGTCAATGTGTAAAATGTGCAGTCAAACAACGTAAGCACAAGTCATTAATGACTTGATTCTACGTGGCTGGATGTGTCTTCCCTTTGGTGTTGGAGCCTGTGGGAATAGCTGCAAGGGCTACGTGTGTTCTTTACAGTGCAGGTAGTTCCTCAAGAAACCACCAAATTCACTGAATGATTTACCTATGAAATCTGTAATCACTGAGCAGCAGAAGACTACAATTTCTGTTAAGTGGTCCCCTCTTTCTTCAAAACCCATTCAGCCCCATGTGCCCGATTCCAACACGATTATAAGAATCTACTAGGAAAAAGTGAATGGTATGAAATACTCTGTAGGTTTGTCTGTGGAAGAAATTCTGAATAGTAAATTGAAAATCGAGTATTTATTCAACAGAATAAGTGGTGTTATGTTAAATGTGTTGCCTTGAAGTCACAATCTTTCTTCTAACTGAGTTAAGAAGTTCAAGAAGAAACTTCTTGTTAGAGCTATACGTTCAGCTGCTTAACCATGTGGGCCTGACAGCTTGACCACCATGGCTTTCTGGCACAAACCATGTTTTTTGTACATAGGTGTACAAAATGGGTCTGTGTCATTGCATGTTCCAATGTATAAGAAGTGGCTGACAGTGTTTACCCTAACATGTTATATTATGAGTTACTTCAAAAAGGCAGAAGAGTTGATGTATCATTTAAACATCTAAAATACATATGATAAACATTGCTCATTTAAATGAAACTCTGAAAAGTGTAAGCAACTTGTGCTGGCAGTAGCTATCATACAAAGAATGAAGGGCAATGATGGATCAGATCACACTTACTCTGTAACTGCCTCATTTTTTCAACACCCAAGTGGAGACCAGCCACAACCATGCATAACTTAAAACAGAGGGGCCTGCCCTGGGCAAAATCCAGCCCTTATGGGACTTACGTTCAGCAATTTATTTTGTCATGGACGATTTTATGAGCACGGACTCTATACATAATGTTTATCTCCCATGTCTGTTAACTACAGTTATACAGGGAGAAAAAGATGCCAGGTAGCTCAGACTTTCTGTCCCAAAACAGGTTAAAATGCAGATTCTGGAGGCCACTATTTACATTCTAAAGCATTATAACTAGAGGGAAAAGATTATGAATGGAAACTGTCCCACATCATCCCAATGTTATTTAAGCACATTAAATCACTACTTACATTTATAATAAGCAAACTGCAAGTAATGGTACATGGTGGCCACAAATTTCTCAACAACAAAGCCTCCTATAATGGGTGTCAGGTTACTCTCGCACTGCACTTTGCACGCAAGGACTTCAATATAATGATCTAGAAGGAAGAAAACAACAACACAGGATATGGATAGCGCACAACAAATTGTTATAACCCTTCCCATTAGCTACCCCTTAAAATTTGGCCTTGTAATGCTACCCTGGGTCCTGTGCATCTGGATTTTGCTGCTTGGAAGTACTGAGCATCTACAACCCCATCTGAAATACATATGAAGTACTGGTACTTAGCCCTTCTATAAAAACCAGTGCAGTCTGGACTTGAAATCTATCAAAGCTGCAATTCCAGAGAACTAAGCAGTGATGTTTCACTGACACCTACAGGCAGCCTGTGGCAGTAGGTTTTATATTGAGTATTATAAAGTATTGCACTATTTCCTAACTGTGAACTTAACAGTGCTATTTTTTTCATAAATTTTGAGCACCTTTACAATTTCATTAAATTATTGCATGAATAAGGACCACATGCTGCTGAGCACAACTGTGTCACAGAGAAATACAGTAGGTGATTGCAAAATAAACCTCCAGAGATGGCTGCATTTTGTGCCTACAGTTAGGATGTTATAAAAGAGAAGACAGACACGAATACGCTGCTCACTACAGAACCACTTTCAGCCAGAAATATTCAAGTTCACAAGCTTTCCCCGACTACAAAAGATTGGTACAATGGGATAGGACTAGAGGTGATCTTATCTTCGTGAAAATACATTCCGAGAAAACTTTCCGTCAAAGAATTACAACCATTTTCAGGATATATCACATTAGACAACAGCACCAAACAGAAATAGTTTAAAGCCTTAGTTTCGCTGTTAGCCACGTTTGGCAGGTGAAAGCAAGTTATCTAAGCTTGTGCAGCAAGTCTCTGACCAAGGCGAAAGAATAGCAAAGGCCCCTTCCCCTGTTTTCATCTCTGACAACTCCTGACATGAAGAACGTTGAAGCTTACTAAAAATGGTTGGCCAAATGAAATGACCAGACCCATCTTTTACAAGCGCAGTGGAGTCTCCAGACACAATAGTGTTCAGTTCCAGCCAGAGATGCAAATTCCTTAGTGAAGCCATCCCATGCAATGAGGACAGCTGGCTTCCAAACATAACTCAATTGGTCAGGGATAAATACGTACCTAGTGCAATCACCAAATACTTCTCATTAACATTTTTTGCTACATCTACTTTCTGCAATAAAAATCTCGGAAGCAGGATATTTCTCCCTGGAGCAAGAGCATAGTTCAGCCCAGGCAGTGCAAGTAAATTTGAATTTTCTTATCTCAAGAACAAAGTATTTGAAATGCATACACATGGCCGTGATGATATCATGCAGTAACTCCTACCTTTCTTCCTCACCACTACTGCTGGAGTTGTCCTTTCCTTCCAAGGAGGAAGGATGACAGCAAGTGCCAATCACAGCTGAGCGTGGACACCGTACTCTTTACAGTGGCTTGGGGTTTCTCCTGATACCAGGGCTCTGATCACTGGGGAAGAAAGCCTGTGTTTCATGCTTTATCCCCTGTGATTTGACTTTCACTCCTTATCTGCTGTCTTAGGCACCTGCCTGCTTTACCCCAAAGTAAAGCCAGGCTTGAGGAATAGTCTGCAATAGCTATTGCATGTCAGCTGTGCTGGTGGATACCAGTTCCACACTGTGAGAAACTGTGGAGCTGCTCTTGTATCAACGTATTTCACAAAACCTTCCCCTCACCAACACATCTGACGGCTTTAGGACAAAAAGTTGGGCTGGTTTTCCTTCTGGCAACTTAGAAATTCTGTTGCATTTTTCATGTTTTTAAGTTTGTTGAGAAAACACACAGGCATTCCCCACACAAATATTGTCAACAACACTGAGACCAGAGCACCGGAGAAACGACTTGTTTCTTTTGCTACCAAAGAGCATAGGAAATGTGCATGTGCCATTTTGACAGCAATCAAAAAGGTGGTATCTCTTTTTCTTTGCAAAGTAATGGATTTTTTTTAAGCTACAAATTAAAGAAATCTTATCTCCTAGCAAAACTGTGCTGTAGGAAAGATGAAAAACAGGCAACAGAAAATTGTCATATTTATGAGAAAGGAGATGACCAGTGATACACAAACCACCAAGCAGATTTTGAAGGCCAGCTAACCACTGAGCCTCAGAGGTGGCCAAATTGATACTGAAAAGATGGTCAAGAGATCTGTCTGGATAACTGTTGCTAGCTGGATGGAGTAGTTGTTATTACTTACACTTCTATTTTATTCTGACACACAACTTCCATGTTAATGTAAGAACTCTCTGTTGTGATTTTCTGACAGCCCTCATTTATGTTACTGAAAAGAAAAAAGTAAACCAGAATTCAAGGAGCTGTCAGTGAATGTAATAAACTCATATTGGCCCAAACTGCGCAGGGGGCACCATGTGCATTTCACACTGCAATCTGAGGAGCAGGACTTTGGTAGCCAATCCCACGGATAAACTGAAATGCACTTTTGGGACATTTTTCCATACTGTTTCCTAATCACTCACCTGCAATGGAGAGATAGAAGTCTTTGAAGTCTTTGATCTCTCGGGAGCCTTCACAGGCTGCTATACAGTCATCGTAGGCTTTGAAGAAATCAGGAAGAGCCAGTTCCATGTCCGAGATGGACGTTCTCCAGTTGTCACCGTTGTATGCTCTCACAGCCCTGACAAAGAGATTCTGAAAAATTGGCAGGACTGAAACCCAGCAGTAACTGATCTATGGAAAGCTGTGTGTAAATTCAAATACAGTACATAACGTCTCTGCATTTCTGGATTACTATATAAGCTGTTATACAATTAATATGAGGACAACAAATACAGATGACTACTGGATTTTACCAGCTATTTCCTAGACAGCAGAGTATGTACCTCCATTTCAGATCAACAGAAAAACCTGCTGGACAGAAGTAACAGGGTGAGTCTAAAGCACAGGTTTTGATAGAGATTTTGCATGGAATCTTAACCCCAAATGTCCAAGTTATTTTAAGCTGGGCTGCTACAGCACTTGTGCATTTGAATACCTCTATGCACCTGCTTAGCTCCAGTAGCAATCTGCATGTAGTAGCTTTCAGGTATGCCACTGTCTATGATGTACTGTGACTTATGGAACAGTGAAAAGCAGAAGAGGTGAGAATTACCGAATGCATCAAGGCGGCAGAAGGGAGATGATGGAGGAAGACAGCACGAGGGACAGCAGAGTAAGAACTGAGAACACGTAAGCAAATGAGATCCCTGAATCTCACCCAATAAGAGTAACAGAACAGTTCCAAAAGACCAGACCCTGCATAAAAAGCATACCTCATAAGGTTTTGTCTCCAAGTCTTTAATATGCTCCTCAGCATCAGGTATGCTTTTATAGTAGGCCATGTTTCTTTGCATCATTTCATCATCTGGATGCTTCAGGAGAAACGTGTGAGCTGCTGCAATAGCTTTTGGAAGGTTATTAGCCTAAACAGGGATGGGGAAAAGAGGAAGGGGGGGAAAAAGGTTAATTGGAAAAAAAACCTTCAAAGTTTCTGAGTTTTTGTCAATGAACTTTCCTGCAGCCTCTATGTTCCCAAACTTACTTCTACTGAATCCACAGTCTCATCAGATACAACGGTACAGTAAAACTGATAGAACTACTAGCTGTATCACTAGGAACATTTCATTGTTTTGTTAATTTTATTTTAAAAATTGATTATTGTTGCAAATAGCAGAGATTTTTTCCCTTCCCCCTCCCCTGTTCATAAAGCTGACAAAGCACAAGAGTATACTGTTGCTCCTGCATGGGATGCATCTCACAGCAATTACTGATGCTAACCTATGGATACTGGGCAGGAGTCATCACTAACCATGTTTAATTTGGAAAGTGTGTATTCCTCATTTAGAACTGCATGTGCCAAATACGTATGTACTGCTGTGTGCACACATTTATACTTTTTATTTTATATATATATACATGTATTTTTATAAACGATGTAGTACATATACACATATTTAGGAAGAGTGAGAGAGAAAGTAAAAGTCTTAAGCATTTGTGGAATGGTAAAAACTTTTCCATTGTAAGCCAAGGTCCATTCAACCCATTCAGTGTACTGATGTGTAGGTGATGTAGAGTTCCACCTCCCATCTGCAATAGCTTATGGAAGTGTACGTATAAAACTATGAGCAAGAATATGCACATGTACTCTTCTGTTTGCATCTATAAAACAGTACCCTTTCATTTCAGAAAGAAACTTGAGAGACAACTACATGAAAGATTTCAACCCTAACACGAGCTCCTGCTGCTGTGCCGCTAGAAGTGTCCCAGCACTGGAACTCCGCCAGCTGCCCTTCCTGGCTGTCCCAAAACTATGTGCTTCCAGTCAGCCCAGGCAGTGCGAAACGCAAAGGGAAATCTCAGCTGCACTTTCGTCAAATGCCTGGTTTCTTTTGTGCTTTATGCTTTAACCCTGTTTGTTGGTAGGCTGACAGGCCTCTCATTTTTGCTTAGTCCACAATTCACTCTTGGTTTCAATTTTCACGACTTTAACAAAAAAAAAATATTTTTGTAGAAACACATTCCTAAGTGAACTCAGTGGCTACGAGAAAGCTCCCTCCAGAGGAGCAAGCAGCAGCGCAGAAACATCTCCTCCCGGGATCAAAGACGTGGCAAAATTTCACTGTTGAACCCACCTGAATAAACACATGGTCACTCTAAAAAATGACAAAAAGTGCTTCCCTCTGCCTTCTTCCTACATTATAAATGCTGTTGGCGGGGTGGCGGGGTGGGGAAGTGACATTCCTTTCTTCAGAAAACCACCAGCCAGGAAAAAGCCCTTTGTATGTAGCAGTTTGTACTTCTAGAAGGCCCATGCAGAAGTCCCCAAGTGAGTGATAAGAGCTCAGAGCTGGACTACAATCTAATAAGAAAGACAATATAAACAGCTGACAATAAAGGCAAAACTACCAAACTGCACTGCTCAAACCCACTGCAAATGTGATTGAAAAACAGTTTAAAGGGAGAGATTTCTCCTATTTCCCTCTCACATTCCTACCTGCCAGTTACTTAACTGTATCAGAAACAGTAAGTAGGAATGATTTTTGCTGTGATCCATACATTGCAAACTTTGCATGTACCACAAGGGGGAATGAATAGTTAAAGTAAGTAAGACAAGAAATGGAAACATTTGTGGTGATCTCATTTTGGTATCCATATATGGCTTTGAGAATGTGAGGAGTGCCTGCCCACTCTCTTATTCAAAAGAAATGTCCCCTGTTTGATACCTTCTGTTCTGTGTGTGCAGAGGCTTTACTGCATAAAGTTAAGTTCTTCTGTACGGTCTTAAGGATGGCTTTAAATGCACAGCATTACGCCGCTGTGATACTGTGCATGTGGATACTGTTCCTGTTTTATGAGAACGTATTTCCCTGCATCTGTTTGTGTAATTTCAGAAAACCATTTCTCATTTTCATGTGAAAACAGCACTTTTACAAATAAGACACAGCAACAGTTAAGAAGATGTTTGTTTTCAAGCAGCAATCTCAAAAAGAATGCACAAGCATACAACTCTATATAATGTATACTGGGATATGTGTGGAGTGAATCCCTAAAGCAGAAAACAATCTAACCAAAGAGTTCAGCTTGTTTTCTCCCCCCACAGATGTCCCACTTGTTTGAAATGTAAGAGATTGCAGTATCTGAGGGGATGGCACGAGGGACGGACCTTGATTTAGAGAACAGAAGATGAAGACGAGGAGGGGGGAGAAGATCGTCAGTTTAGATCCCAGACAGAAGGATGACAGGAAGCTAGAAAAACGGGATGAAATCTGTTAACAGAGATGTCTCTCCCCCAGTCTTGGCTGACCCAAGAGCAAAAAGTAAACACCGTTCCAGACCTAGCGTTAGTGTCACATTTAAGCAGCCAATTTTCACCTTATTCTTTCCTGTGGCTGTAACAAAACCGGAATTTTTTGCAGGCATCAGGCTATCTGCGAGTCGCAGGCTGGGGGCTGCTGCACTTGAAAGAACTGGATCAGAACAGAGCAAGTGAGGAAGACGGACACGCTGAGGGCGAGGAAACAGCGAAGAGCACTTGCAATAGCAGAGCGCTGACATGAAGGGACTGAAAAAGGTTTCAGAGAAGGTTAGAAGAAAGTAAGGCGGATGGAAAGATGAGAGGGGCAGGGGCAGAAACAGAAAAACTACAGGACAAGGAGGCGGGGTCCAGTGGCTGGGGGTCTGGGAAGAACTGGAGGGGCTAATCAAGGGGACGGGCTGGAGGAGTTGTGGAAAAACTGGTGAAGAGCGAGCTGGACGGCGGGCAAGCAAGGGGGAAGACAAGGCACGCAGTGGGTCACAGGAGGTGGGCGGGAGGAAGGGGCTGAAAGACTTGCTGGGGAGAAGATGGCCATGTGCAGGGTGGGCAGCCCGGGAGGGCAGGGACTGGGGGGCCCGGCCACGGAGGGGGCGAAATGGAGGTGGGGCGGACGCCAATTGGCCTCTAAGCTGGTGTGCAGGAGGTGATGAGGAATGAGGCTACGGCCCAGAGTAACCTGCTCCAAGGGCCCGGCGAGAGGTCGGCACGACAGGAGGCATTTCCAGCATTGGGCCCACGGGGCACCCGCGTCCGTCGAGGCTGTGCAGGGACACACCACGCTGTCCTCCTCCACCGCGACACCTCCAAGGGTCGCCGACGGGCACGTTTGGCTTGGCTTGGCTGGAGGGTGACACTGCACCAGGCAAGACTTTGGGGAGCTGAGGCCAGGGGGCAGCAGCAGGGCAGAGAGAGGGGACGGGAGGGGGAGGAGGGCTGAAGGGCCGGGCCTCACCTTGAAGTAGGCGAACTGCAGGTACTTGTAGGGCTCCCGGCGCTGGAACTCCTCGAGCAGGTCGCGGCCGGGCTGGGCCTGGCGGGGGGCGGGCAGCCCCTGCTTGCAGCGCCG